TTCAAATAGCAGGTCTCTACAAAAAGATATTGAGTGTTCTCGATTACTGTTTACACACTGTATATATATATATATATATTATGTATATGTAACTCACATGGATTTTTAGCATCAAATGAACAACACTCCAATAGTATTGGAATAATATTATTAACACCCATCTGTTGAAATAAAATAACATTAGTATTCAGTTATTGTTTTTAAAATATATTTTATATTATTGGTAAATTAATTAAAAATAATACTTAAAAGTATTATTACAAAATGCAAAGTATATATAATTACCAAATGTTGGTGTTCTTTATGGTTATAACACATATTTGCTATCAGTCTTATTATATCGGATTTAAACCAAAATCTATGCTGCTTTTGTATTTCAAAATTAACCAATAAATCTGACAAGCCTTTGACTGGGCTAAAGTCATTATTTGAATCCTTACCCTGTTCATGAATAGTTATTAAAATGTCTGAAATAAAAATATATCATTCAACAGTGTACACGGTGTATTACATCTACTACCATACCCATTGATTTTTTTAATAGAGGAGTGTGTTGTTTTATATCAGATTTAAATTTTTCTATACTAGATGCTTTGGCAAGAACATTCACTATATTATTGGTTATTTCTTCAACAGTGCAGTTAATAAAAAAATTGTCTATTATTACATATATAACATCTAAAGACACATCTTCAATATAGTGATCCAACCAAATGGATAACATGCTCGTAAGTTGTTCTTTTGAAGTATAAGAAAGATTTGTATAGGTACATAAGAAATCTTCAGAACTTGAGAAGATGGAATCTAAAAATATTTTACTAAAACCAAACATAATTTAAAAACTTATACACTATTGTTATTAATAAACCATACACCTACAGCAGAAGTTACTTAATATGACTTTCCCTACATTTCAGCAGATTAGGTAAGGTTAATTTATCATTTATTTTCTATCAGATTTTTTAATAAGATCAACAATCGGTAGTCCTGTACTAAATAATTTCTACTGCATTACTAACTCACCTATACTCTATTTCATTGTGAGTCCAGTGTTCCATGATTTTTTTAATTACTTTTTCATCTTTTAAAACATCTTGTCTAAAATGAGTATTGTATAAACATAAATTATACAGCAGCATTATTGAATTATTCAATAACTTAGAATCATCCGATGAAGATATAAAATTTCTAAAACCAAAAAAAGAAAAATCCCCATTACGACATGGAAGGAATACAAGTACACCAAACAATACGATAACTACATAAATATTAATATAAAATTTACATACTTAGATATTTAATATATATTGATATCGAAAAAAACATTTTTATCTAATAGATATGTTAGAATTCTATAACTGTTTACTTAGAAAACAATAAATTTGCTTTGACATTCATGTAATCATCGAACAGTGGCATAATAGAACGTTGAACATACTCGTACAAGTCTGGACTATGGTGGAGGGAGGGCAGAGGGATCGCGTCCCCTGGGCCCACAATGTTATAAGGCTCCCAAACAAATATTAAGAATTCTAAATATCATTGTCACAAAAAATCAAGTAATTTAAAAAAATTATATCGTATAATATTAAATAATTATGAATGTTTTTGGGGTAGGTACAGTATTTTCACTTATACCACAGAATAAAGTACCTAATTACAGATATTACAGTGTTTATATCTATTCTTGGTGGTTGAGTTTGATTAACGATAAGAAACTCAGTTATAAGGTATTGACAAATTTAGAGTAGAAACAAATATCATGATTGTAGAAAAATTTGAAATAAAATTAGATAAAAGGATAACTGCATATAACTATAAATCTCAGCATTTTATATTTATCATTAAGTTAAATATCCAGCTAGATAATGATATTAACTTAAGCTTGGACAACTTCATTTCTATGTATAAAGTTGGCATAGAATCTTATATAAAATATGAGTTGGTTTAATTTAGAGAATATTGGTATCTCAGTAAACCTCTATTTGATGCTTCAAATGTGCATAAAATATTAAAATGGTTTGAAGAAACAAAATTAAAAAATTTAATTTCCTAATATTTTAATTGTAATTAGATTATATTTAACAATTCCTGTCGTAAATTGTTCTGCTGAATGGGCATTTTCAAAGTTGGCAAGCATAAAAAATAAGTTTAGAACTGGACTCAAGAATCCTTAAAATCATTTATAATATTATCTTCTGAACATATTTTAAATTATTTATTTTGTTAAATTGTCGGTGCCTTAATGGGACCCATTGTTCTATAAATCGCCGGGCCTATGCTCGAGCGAAAAACCCGTAAAAAGTGCGCTCGCATACCTTAGTGTGCCGTTAAAATCTTGAAATACAATTCGTTGAGCTTCGCAATGGTTTACAGAAAAATTGGCCAAGAACTGTAACAGTACGCTGCGGCTGAGCGGTACGTCGACGAAGTAGTGGTCACAAAACCAACAGCAGAGCGGTACCAATCCGGATTCCAACAACTCGTGTTTAGCGCTGGACGACAGTCGTGGCGAGTGGTTCCGGAGCCAACGGAAAGCGTCCGTGGCGTATTCCAACTCAGCGTCGGCGGTCGGGCACGTTTTGTCGGACCCGTGAACCGCTGACAAAGATTTTGCGCGAATCAAGTAGATTCGCATAAAGTGACTCGCGAAATCGTCCTCCAACGATCGCAGATCCATCTTCGCGCGACGCAGACTTTACAGTGCGCTTAACAAGACCGCTGAACATTAACACGGACGACTAGCCGGCGATCATCGTTCGAGTTTGGAGCGAAGAGTAAGTTCAACGGTACACCGATAAAATTTGATATTTTAAACATACGATGATGTCGATGTATCACCGATAGTTTTTTTCCGTGTCCTCACCACACTGTCGTAAAATTAGTGCCACAATCAAATTACCAATACCTATATATTTTTTAATTAATTATTTGCAGGAAAATGAATCTCTTCTCAGAAACAGTCAATGAAAAACAAATCCATCCGATGTTCGATGTCCTGTTCATGGGCGGTGCATTGATTGTACACCAGTATAACACAGATAACGTGTTATCTATGATATGATTTATAAATTAATGTAAACGGTAATTTGTTACTTAATCAGTTAAGAAGTGTTATGTCTATTAGAAAACAGGAGTAGTTCACCACAAACATTTCATGAAACTATAAAACAAGAAATAAAAATAAACTTTTACAATATAGCATTAGATAATATGAAAAATGGACTTAATGAAAGATTTAGCCAAAAAACATTGAGTGTAATATCTTCTGTTGGTCATATTTTACAATTAAATCCTAAAAATGAAGATATAGAACTAATCAATAAAATATTTAAAATTGACACACTTCACTTAAAATCTGAAATTAAACTATTTAAAGGATTTACCGATATTCCTAGTGGATCATCAACTACAACAATAGATTATTGGTTGGATTATAATTATAATTATAATTACTAATAATATAACTTAAGGATTATAATCTATAAGCCACGGTTTAAAATATACTTGTCCATTTTATACCGTGCTATAAGCCTTGCCTAATAAAAAGACGCCGTAGATTTGTATTGCGAAACACAAAAGCCTTCTGGACAAACTAGCTATTTTTAGGGAAAAAAAATGTAGCCACTTCTTATTGTCACAGTGTACCGAGTACACCATAGTATCATACAATAGATTTTATAATATATTATTACAAAATCAACGCTATTACTGTCTGCTGATTAGGACGTTTCTCGTATTCTGGAAAATATCAAATTATTATCACAGATTGTTCATTGAAAAATTTTGTTAGCAACAGCGCAGAACAGCAGAACAAAGGAGACAATAATTATTTGCTCAGAATTTAATTTTCACACATTACGATTAGTTCTGTAAACTATTTTGAAGGGCACAAGTTCTCCGTTGAATTCTCAGGATTCCTAGAAGATTTGATTAAATAGGTATTGACTTTGATTGTCTAAACCGCTTTTAAAAGAAAAAAAAATAATTGTGAAACTAATAATACTGTATCATTAATAATGATAGAAAATTAATAGCTGTTTAATGTCGAAAAAAAAAAAATAATACATCAAAGAATAAAATATAAACATAGGACTAACATAAAACATAATATTTAAAAATATCTAATTAACTATTCAATATTTTACGGTAGCAATCACCAACTTTCTATGTATAATATTCAATTTTTAGTAATACACATTAAAATAATATTTTGGAACTTAATGTAAACTAGTAAATAAATTCAATGTTTTTGGTAATTGATTGATGTAAAATTCTCTTGGAGTATTGTTCTTAAGTACTATAGCAGATAGACACTTCAAACTTCTTGGTGTGTTATTTGTTAAATTAAATAAAGCTAAAAAAAATAAAATAAATATTTATTAATAATCAAAAATAAAGAGAGGTAAAGGCAGTAGGTTGTGACGAATTTTAATTGAAGTTTATTAGTCAAGTATTAGAAACAAAGTAATGAAACAAATATTATTTAAATTAACATAAAAATTATATTTAATAGTTAATAATAAAATCTCTAACTTTAAAAATTACATTACTGAAGGGGCTGCCTTAATTTTGTATGCAGTCGGCTATTCATTTTTTCATACTGTTCATAATTCTCTGTAGGATATGAACATCGATGGTTGTACTTTCCCATCTAATGATCTTTTTTAATTTTTATAGTGTATGTGACTTATAAATGAACACTTTAGATTTCAAAAAACCTCACAAAAAGAAATCAGGTGGCATTAAATCAGGAGAATATGGTGGCCAGGCAATATCACAGAATTCAAAAACATTTTTCTAAGAACAGCCATTGAAATATGTGCTGTATAGCTGATAGCACCATCTTGTTGGAACTATAGTTTGTAATCTTGAACTCCTATGCGCTGCAATTCAGCTGGCAACAAGTTATTTAACATTTCTACATAATGTTAAGTGCTACAGTCACAGCTATCGTGTGATTTCGCATAATGATAATATTTCCTGGTGACCACGTTCTCCTGATTTTACACCACCTGATTTCTTTTTATGGGGTTTTTTATAATCTAAAGTGTTCACTAATAAGTCACATATATTTTTAGAATTCAAAGAAGACGTGTATATTCTACAGAGTTTTGAACAGTATGAAAAAACGGATAGCTGACTATACAAAATGATAGTGGCCACTTCAGAAAAGTAATTTTTAAAAATTACGAATTTGTCAATAATAATTAAATATAACATTAATTTTGAATAAAATAAAATTTGTTTCATTACTTTGTTTCTAATACTTGACATACATACAACATAACAAATTTGCATTCAGTGATTCAAATGTAGTGAAGATAGCTTTAATATTAGAGTAAACTGACCTATAATCAAACTTAAAGGGAAGAACATTATCTGTGTTCTGTTGGTTGGTTTTTTCCGATATTTTAATTTTTTTTTAGCGAGTTATGATGTTTTGTAAAATGTTATATTTTACATACTCATAATACATTAAAAATTGAAATATTGGAAAAAACCGACCAACAAAACACAGATAATGTTCTTCCCTCAAAGTTTGATTATAGGTCAGTTTACTCTAATATTAAAGCTAACTTGATAGTTTGTTGTTTTCATTTTGTTACATACATTGTTGTATGTATGTCAGACAGATACAACACATACGAGTATGATGTCCTTTTAATAAACTTAAGATTAAAATTTGCCAGAACTCACTGCCCCACCCTTCATATAGAATATGAGATAATTACTTTTTAGATAACCAGTATGAGGGCATACTCCACATTTGTTTACAAAATCTGTATGAGCACCAGCATTTAATAGTTCAATTACCATCTTTTTTGAATCCAAATAATCACTTTCATGAGGTATATGAGGACTTAAAATATAACAATAAAATAAATATATAATCATTAAATGTAAAATATATTTTTCAAAGTATTAATATACTTACAAATCTTCTATGAATTTACCAATATAATGAAGTGGTGTATTATTATTATTGTCAATTGCGTTAATGTCTGCTCCACAATAAATTAATAACTTCATAGTATGATAATTTGGAAAACTATAATAGACAATAGACAGATTTAAGACGAGACAAAATATTATTCAATAATAAAATAAAATAATACATAAAATAAAATCTATCAGTTAATGAATTATGATAATAAATAGAGTTACAGATAATTATTTTTTTTTATTTCTACTATCTAAAATAAATTACATAGAATATAAATATTTCTTACCAACATATTCCAGTGGTGAAAATATTATCCACATTAGTATCATAATCTAAACATAAGTGAAGTAATGTTTGGTTAGAACTTGTTCTAAGATCAAGTCTATTTATTTCTACTATCATTTTCATTAAATCTCCTTTTAGCGGATCATTTACATTATCAGTATGTTCTAATGCATTACTGGTTATAATAATTAAACCAAGTGTTGAATATATATTTGAAAAATATTCTCTCTATTTTAAAAAGAAACAATTATACAAAATATAGACAAGTTTTATTATTGTATAAAATAGATAAATATATTAAAATTAACTATAATAGTAACTTTTTTATTTTTTTCTCTCAATTCTTTTCTGCTTCAAATATCTTCTTCCTACATCACCTTCATATTTACCAAATTAATTTCACTTTTTGATTGAAAATATTTTTGAATTTTCAAATATCGGAATTTCTCTTTTTTTCTATATTTTTACAATAATTTTTATGTCTCATATTTTCTTATACAAAATTCACACTATGACAACCTAATTTCTCTCATATATCTCTGATTGTATGTCTCATTAGATATCCTATATATATTTATTCCTTAATACATATATTCTAATCATACCATCAAATATCTTGGTAAGTTCAACTTTATTTTACTATCATAAAATATTATAGAAATGTAATTTATATATTTATCATTATACCTCTATAACTTCCCTATCATCAACTGAAAGATCTCCAATTAATTTTTTTTGATTAATTTTAAATTCTTTAATTGCTACTTGCAATATGTCAATTAAATCTGATAGTCTGATATTAATATTGACTTTAATCATTTGACAAAATACCTGAAAAAATTAAAAACAATAGAATTAGAAAATGTAAACATTTTTAACTGATGCAATAAATAAAATTATTATATTATATTACATAATACAAAGTTAAAGGTTACCTGCAACAAAATTAACAATTAGTATGAGTAATTATATTTGTTATAAATTACATAAATTTTTGAGAATTTTTAGTTTTTTTTTTTGGTGATTAGTGTTTTTAGTAAGACACAAATTAATTTTGTAACAGGACCAACTTTAATACAAAATTATATTGCTCATAATTTTGCATATACCCATGATTTAAGATTATTAAAACTATTTTTTTTTACTTTTTACTCCATTAATTCATGCCCAGTAGCGGCTCGTAGTAAATATTCTGGGGAGACTTAAATTATTTAACATAAATTCCATACAATAAAGAACAAGAAAAACCCTTTTATTGGAAAATTAATTATACTTAATACTTTATTAAATATTTAGTTAATATTTTTAGTTTAATTTAATTTAAAATTTTTTTATAAACTAATTACAGTACAGCGACTACCGACGGCGCGATGGCACGGAAATTATTGTCATGAACCCAGTTTCAATAGCATCTATATTACGCGGACTATTCTCCCTGGCCCCTCTGTCCAACAAGCCAAACCATTACATGTTATGATTGAACATATCAGACGTCTGTTTCATTGAAACCGCGATTGTCGAAATTACTAAAATACTTAGATATTGTTTCCATTGAAATAACTATTTATAGGTTTTAATTTTGTGACCTTGAATTTATAATAATAAATAGAGAAATCGCTATAATATATTTTCAATAAAAATAAAAATATTTTTATACATTTTTAAATAGTAATTTAACAAGTAGCTGTTATTTTTTAAGGGGAGACACAGTCTCAACATCTCCCCCAATGAGCCGCCCCTGTTCATATCACAAAGAAAATTAAATGTTAACAAAATTTGGTATTTCAACAAATTTCAATTAAAAAATATTAGTCATTTGGTTATTCTAGAAATATTAATTTTAGGGACTCAAAATATTTACTGAATTTATATTAGCATTTAAAAAAATATTTCATGCATTTTAATCGATTATAGTTTGATAACATAGGAGAAATAAAAGCATTTTAATATCACTTACTTATTATCTAGATGTCTTTTTTTTTTTGTTTAAAATAATAAGTTAAAAATTATAATACCTTATTTAGAAATTTGATTTTACTACTACTATATCAAGCATCTTTAGAAATATAAATTAATTAACCTTCTTGGGTTATCTACCTCTTTCATTTGGAATTATTTTTTGATTGTAATGGTACATTGGTTTTAAGTTCAAAAACCAATATAGCAATACCATTCAACCATCCCTGTATCTTACTCAAAAATAGAATCTTGTCTGTTATAAAATATACAAATATCTTTCTTATATTCCATTTTAATAATTATGCTCTTTACTTCTTTGTACATTCTTTATAATTTATGATAGTTATGGGTTCAGATTATAAAGTGCATTTCAATCATTATTAGTTCAATAGACAAACATTATCGATAAACATAATGAAGTAATATGTTTAGAAAATTGACATTAACAAATTAAACATTATGTAATCTGTACATTATTTTCAATATTGAAAAGGTTTATTAGATTATTTTTTTGAAAATCCTTGAATAAAAAAATCCAAATTTTTAAAATGTTAATCTTGTTTACCTGAGTAAACCGTAAAAGATCTTTCCTGATACCTAAGTGATTTCTTTGAGCTATTTTCATGGCATGATTCCAAAGTTTTAAACAAGGTGAAAAATTTTGTGAATCTGCATAAACAGCTCCACGATATATTATTGATTGCAATATATCTGGATTTTGTACTCCCAAAATCCTTTCTCTGAAATAATATTAAAATTTAAAATTATGATTGTTGAGCTTAAGTAATAAATAGTAAAAAAAAAATTATATTACAAATATAAAGATAGCAATCAAAATATATAAGAAAAATTTAATATATACCAATGTTTAATTTAAAAAATAGTACATAAACATATGGAGAAATAATTTTTTTAATTTTTAATTGTATATTTTATTTTTATTATTCCTAGAATTATTGTTACCAATTTCAAATTATCAAAAAATATATATGAAAATAAAAAATTACCTAATAATCAATGATTCATAATGTAAAGCTGAGTTATTGAGTTTTATTTTCATTAAATCTTCTAAATTTTGACATTCCACTTGATTGTTGTAAGCATCTACTTTTTTATAAACATCTTTAGGTATTATTGGATCACCATCAAATCTAAAAAATATATTTTTTTAATAAAATATACATCAACTAATAATTAAATAAAAAAAACCAATTAGTTTAATTTGTACAATTAATAGCATATTGCATTTGTTAATTCATATTAATGTCTCATTTTTTAATTTACAACAATAAAATTTAATTCCCATGACTATTATAGTTAAATAAATGAATATTATTCAAAAAATTAGTTTATATGAATATTATGCTAAATAGGGTTAGAAAATGCACAAATGATAAATATTTTAAAGTATATTAATCATGGGAACTCGACTAAAGAAATATACAAACACATCACTGAAAATAGTTATTGTATTATTTAATGTAGTATATTGCAAAGAGTTATCAAAATACAATATAATTTAAATTTCTAACCGCATTTCCATTGAATGTTTGAGAAGAGCAAATCCTAGATTATTATCATAACTGTCTTTGTCATTCAAAAATGAAGCACCTAGCAATTCTTCAACTTCAATACGCTCTTTACGAGTCAAATGTAATACACTGAGGAGATATTTTACGAGTTCATAATGTGTTCTTTCAGCAGCAACCAAAATAGGAGTTAAGGCTACAATAATAATTATAATGATTAAGGGGTCTTTACAAATAAAATAATAAAATAATAAATAAAATGTTGATATACAATGATGATTTTTCATTTGCCAAGCATTAGAGTTTAAGAGTAGTTGTATAACTTTAATATTATTAGCTTGAGCAGCAAAATGCATGGCTGTTGCACCACAGTTGGTTTGTTTATTAACATCAGCTCCATTTAGCAATAAATGTTTTACGACTTTTTCATGGCCTGGTAAAATTAATATTTTAAAAATTAAATAAAAAAATTATATGTACATACACAATAAGTGTAATCTCAACATTAAAAACAAAAACATTTTGATTGATTTATAAAATCACCAATTACAAATACATTTTTACATTTTTTGGGATATAGTAATTAATATAAATATATAAATTTAAATATAAATATTAATGAAAGTTCCAATAAAACAAAAAATATTTATAATTACATCGAAAACTTATAAATCAACTCTACTTATATGGATTAATTTCTAAAAAAAAAAAAATACTGAACTACAACAAAATGCTATAATTATACAAATCTTTAATCTTCGAACATATTTGTGAATATGAATTAGGCATTACTATTATTTTTAATTCAATTTTTAGTATATATTATATTATTTTTTGAAATTGACGTTTATTCAAATGTATTGATTGCCAAATGAGTTGGTTATAATTAAAATTAAAAACTAATTAGACAGAGAAGTTATAAATTAAGAACATGTTTGATGTAAAAATATAGTGAGTACTACAATACAATACAATACAGTACTAATTAAAAATTTTAATACATTTATAATTGCATCACTAGAAACATATTTAGAAAGAAGGTACTACAAGTCTAGAAGTAGTTTTCCCTGGAAATAATTTTTAAGGATAGCTAAGTTATATACATATTAAATAACAACTTATATGTATAGAATAGTATAGAAAGTATAGACTTATTCTTTTTTTAAAAAATATATATAATTCAAAATTATTAATTAACAAATAAATATTTATGTATTCAGTAATTAATAATTGGAAACTTACTATTGTTCAGGAAACTATACTTCTAATATAGTTCTGTACATCATATTCAATATTTATTAACTTTCACATGCTTTTACAATAACTATCAAGGTTATGGATATTCATAATTTTACTATTAGAATAATTAAATTCATACCAAAGCATATTACTAGATGCCATTTTTATGAATAACAATACAAAATTATTTTACCTTTGTATGAAGCTATCATAAGACATGTGCTATTAAATATATTGGTTCTATTGACATCAGCCCTATATTGAATCAAACATTCAACAATATCTTCTCTTCCTATATAACAAGCCGCTCGTAAAGGAGTGGATTTTGTTTTAGTACAAAGGTCAACAGTTGCCCCACAACCAAGCAGAACTTGGACTATATCTAAATGTCCAGAACCTGTGAATTGCACAAATATTTAAAATATGAAATTAATAATTCACCAAGCATTAAAATAAAGATAAACAATTTGTATATACTGATGAATGGTAATGATAAGTCAACATGATATTCTAATAATATTAGAAAAAAAACAAATAAATAGTTATGGTTTTACATTTTCTGTAAATATAATATTTTTCATTTAACGACTAAATAATCATATTAAAACATTCATAACTTTATGTAAAAAGAAAAAGGACACCAATAATAGTACCATTAATTGTGATTTAAGTATTCTTGGTAGGAAATGTCATGATCACCTATTATTCATATTATTTATGAATTCTTAAGTAATATCAGTAAATAATACATTGGTGTCATTAAGTATCATATGACAACGGCTATAAATATACTGACCAGCCGCGCACCAAAGTGCTGTAGCTCCATCGACTATCGAATCAAAATGAAAAACCTTTCCCTGAGCATCCAAATTGACATTGCACAGCTGTTCCAACATGTACTTCACGATTTTTGTACGTCCCCTCAGAGAAGCTTCGATAAGCAAAGTCATCTCTTGATCTTTTTCGACGACATATTTCTAAACAGTGACACAAAAGTTCAGCAATCTCATCAGGAACTGGGAGCAGTCGGGAAAGGGAAAATAGCAACGTTGTGCCAAAGCTTTCTACAAACACACACCTCGTTTAAGACTTTTTCCAGTTCTTCGGTGTCGTAATCGGTTATCGAATTTAAAAAGTGCTCGTCTAAACCTTTAATAACGCACAACCGCAGATCTTCCTCGTCGGAGAACCCGAACGGAGACAACGACTCGAATGGAGACAACGACTCGAATCGATTTGGCGACGTCATGACTGACTAACGCGTCACCAGCATATCCGAACTGAGGTTTGTGTTTGGATCGGAGATTCGTGAAACGCTCCTGTACACAGCGGTGTGTCTACATAACAGTGCTGGAAAAAATAACAAAATTAATGTTCACGGGACGTCTGGTATCACATTTGGTCGGGTCGGGTTGCGTTATCATTCGGACCACTGGCACGCGCGCACAACCGGCCGTGATACGTAACAATATTACGGGCGTAATAATAATGAAACCATAACATTACTGTTAGGTACCAGGGCAGGAATTCTTGCCTGGGCCCTAGCCGCGTTATATTTTTCGGGGCTAGATTTCGGTTCACCAATGGAAAAATAAGAAATATTATACATTTCAATAAACACCCTATGTACATAAATAAATAAATGAAGACTGGTTAGCCTGGAGTATTAAATCACGAGTGTTAACCATTTAAACATTTTTATTTTATTTTTTTATTATCTTATTATTTAAAAACATAAATTCGTATCACTATACCACCTCAAGCCAGCGTTCCTTATCCTTTTTTTTTCCATTCATCGACCTTTCGCCATTGCTTTGCGTACTCCCAACTGTACATTTATCAATTTTCACATAGGATGGATAAGATATTATAAAATAAGTTTTAATGGAAAATAAATTATTATGAAGTAGGTAGGTATTTATTTATTCTAATCGGTATGCGCCATACTATGTACCTATATAAAAAAATAATATATTTTTATTTTTTATATTTAGATTTAATGAGCCTTTGCCAATTAGCATCACGGCTCGACAATTATAAATATTATATCGATAGTTTATACATGATAACAATCATTTGTTGCTAATATAGTAGATTAAAATAATAATAGAGATTTATTACATTAAAAATTAATTAATGGTTAAATGAAAAGCTATGATTGTATTTAGAAATGTCACTGGTGTGTTTATGGAAGGTCAATTTTATTTGGGACGGAGGTAAGAAAAGATATAAGTGTGTTAATAATTTAAGTGAATTTCAGAAAGAATTTTGATAAAAACGTTTCGATTACGGAAATATTATTATTTTCAGAACCAGAAAAGGCGTGTGCGTAAGAAGTGGGCTAAGAATTTCGATTTAAATTTGTATTTAATAGTTACGAAGATTTGGGTTTTTAGGGAATCCGATGGATACTGGATTGATGTTTGTGGAGAGATTTAAATGACGAATATCCTTTAAAGTTAGCAGTGTGATCGCCTCTACACAAGGCACATTAAGCTGGGCAGCTTCTTTTTGCTTGCATGGAAAGGGTGATTGGAGACTAGGGATCTACCAATCATTGACACAAGTCTCAGGACTACGTCCTATATCTTGGAACGAATTGACTTAATGAAATTATCACATTATTATCATCATTCATTCGCATCCCGGTGTTCTCTCCGCGCAGACGTCGTTCCATCTTTACAGCGTTACATCAACACAAGAAAATCATGGGTGGCCGCAGAGGCGGTTCCAAAAGAAAAGGAACCCCTCCTCTCAGCAACTCCAAGAAAGTCTACAACCCGGCCTCTTCTCCAACGCCACTTATTGCCTACTACGCCTCAACGTCCCGAATCGACCTCCACTGAACCTTCCGACACAGATTCGGTCTCGGGCGATTCAAATGTTACTTCTGACTTAAACTCACAACCCGGCAGCGAGAATTTGAACATCGTTTCTTCTCCGTCTCCGAAATCTACTACTACTAAATTTAATATTGCTATCCAATCTGATAAATCAAAAATTCCGTTGCCACCACCAATCATTATTCCTGCGTCCTTGTGGCGAAACGCTGCACCACTAATCTTTCAAAATCCGGTAGCCGACTCGGTTGGCATAAGCGCTAAATCGTCGGCCGATGGTAAAATCTACTTGAAATCTTCTAACGTCACTCAATTCCGTCTAATCCAAAAAATACTTCTGTCAAATAATATCAGTTTTTATACCCATACCCTTGCCGCTGACCGCCAGCTTAATGTAGTCCTCAAAGGCATACCCGTAGAAATCTCCGACGATGACCTCAAAAATGAACTGATTGCCCACAATTTCGAAGTGCAAATGACCCGACGTTTCGGTACGGCAGACAAGCCTATGCCTATCTGTCTTGTTATCCTCACTGGCACCCACGCAAAGAATATCTTTGAACTCACCGAACTTTTCTATCTTAAAATAGTAGTCGAGCATTATAGGAAAACTGGTCCATCTCAATGCCACACCTGCCAACGATTCGGCCATGGTTCACAAAACTGTGGTAACCATCCACGCTGCATAAAATGCGCTGGCTCCCACCGCACTAGCGACTGCCAAAAAACCCGTGACCAAACTCCTACATGCGCAAACTGCAACGGACCCCACACAGCGAACTACCGCGGATGTCCGTCTTATACTCAAGCCACAAATTCACCTTCCAAAAGCCAATCAAACCTTACGAAACCCTTACCAGTTCAGATCACTAAGATCCAGTCCCCTCAACAACCTAATCTCGAACCAATAACATCAGTTAGTTCCGCTGGAATACATCCTGATTACGCAACAGCAACAAAAAATAAACCAGCAATCAACATTAACTCAATCATCACTCTTCTGACCAAGCTCCTCTCAGACATCTCAACGGCTGACGACCCAAAGTCAATAATCTGCTCAACTATAACATCATTCCTCAATATTCTAACAAATAGTTATGAATAACCTCAGAATTCTTCACTGGAATTCAGATGGTATAAGAAACAAAATTAATGAACTTCAGGCCTTCGCATCCAAACTCAAAATTGACATTATTCTCTTAAGTGAAACACACCTCAAACCATCTATCAAATTACACATTCCAAATTTTCACGCGTACAGAACGGATCTACCAACTGTCAGAGGTTCTCTCACCCACGGAGGCACTGCTGTGTTAGTACACCGCCGCATTGTTCATCTACCTACTACTCTTCGCACAAATCTTCAACCTACCTCAATAATAATCAAAATATTTGACATGGAAATCCTCGTAACTGCAGTCTACAAACCTCCCAACCAAACGCTTGAAACGTCTGATCTAGACACCCTTACACAAAGCTCTGTCTGGTCAATCTCTGCCGGCGACTTCAATGCCAAGCATTCCATGTGGAACAGCCGTATTTCCAACACTTCGGGCTCAACATTGTACAACCACGTGTGCCAAAATGATTACGCCGTCATTGCCCCTACTTCTTCGACTCGTCACCCTTACAGTCAATCTTACCGGCCTGATGTGCTTGATATCGCCCTCATAAAAGTCCCTCTACCAGTCACGGTAACCAACTTAAATGATCTCTCGTCTGATCACAACCCGGTACTTCTCGAAGTTCATGGAACTCCAATCGCCTCCAATCTTCCACCATCTAAATGCTTCATCAACTGGCGCAAATACACCGACATACTTGCAAATAAGCCAGTAGATGTAAATCCTAGCACTGCTAGGATAGGTTTTTTAAAATTTCCAAACACTGTATTTCGGCCTGAATCCAATTTTTCTGCGCCGTATCAACAAATGGAATTCTGTGATCCTGGTTTCAATTTTTCTATTAGGTACATATTATTACCTAATATGTAATAATCAATAATCAATTATAATTGTATATATTTTTCCACATATATTTTATTATGGTTTCGAAAGTGATAACGATTTTTGTAACCTGTTTTCCTCAACCAGTCATCACTCCCAACCACAAAAAGCTGGTCGACTGCAGCAGACTGCAGCACTGTTAGGTATTCACCATGGTAAACAAAGATAACTGACATTAATTTTATAAATAGATTCAATATTAGCATTATGCACAGAGTATACTTTGTGGCATTATTGTACCATGTAATAATGTGCTCTATGATATTATGATTGATAAAATTAGGACAACCAATAATAACCAAATCATCAAATCAAAAATAACATTGTTTATCTATACAGTATACATTATTATTTAATGATTTAGTCAGCAGTATGTATTTTTTTGCGTTTTAACTTTTATGTGTGCCACGTGTAGTCGGATACCTACATAATTCGAGTTTTCAAAAATTTTGATCATGAGTTTAAGTAAACGAAAATGCGTTTTCGGGTTATGCATATATATATATATATATATATATATATATATATATGTTACGGTGTAAGATGTAAACGCGGTAAAAGATGTCATCCCCGGTAAATGACATCATTTACCTAAAAATTGGTAAACGTTGTAAATGCAGACATTCTTCGGTTATTGTCGTCAATCACCAGTTTAATTGGAGAATGATGTTTAATATTTTTATAAACGAAAATCCCAACTAGCATAACGTCGATAACCCGAGTAATAATATGAGATAATCTTTTAGTTTATTAGTTAGTATCGACGGGTATATTATAACGAGTTGTATTTGCTACGAATGTGTATTTTATAATATTATTTGTAAACATTTTTGTCACCAGTGAACAAAATATAATAAAAGTTAGATTAAATTATAGTGTTATAGTTTTATTCAATTTTAATATTTAAGTATGCAGAACAAATTTAAAGCAGCAATTGACAAAATTGTCAGCATTAAAAAGAGAAGTGACAATATATTTTATTTTAGTTCTGAAGAATACAACAAGATTCAAAAAAATAAAAGAATTAAAAATTGGAACACTAAAAAAAACGGTAACGAATAACAGACTTATACGTAAATATGATGTTGTGTCAATTGGGGGAGAAGAAAAATTGATTAAAACTATAGTTGATAATGAATCTGACGTTTTATATTACGTCACAGTAGACGAGTTGTTTTAAGTAATTCACACCGCACATTTAACAGTAGGGCATGGTGGTAGAAATAGGATGATGGTTGAGTTAAAAACAAAATATTGTAATGTAACAACGGAGGCAGTTATGGCATATTTAGGTTTATGCAGTAATTATCAAGTAAAACAATCAAATCCGAAAAGAGGGCTTGTGACAAAACCAATTATACATTCCGCATTTAATTCAAGAGCGCAAATTAACAATGTTTGGTTTTACAGCGAGAATAGGGTTAACTTCAGCAGGGATACTTTACGATGAAATAGAAAAAATTAAGTCAGAAGAAGATATTGAAGAACTTTTTAATAACAGCAACTATTCAGATCATATTAATGCGGTAGAAGATGATTTAGTCAGTGTTGGAGATCTTGAAAATGAAATAAACT